AATTTCATTAAATTGCCTTCAAATTAAACCTTTGAATCAAAGCTTCACATCAGCAAGATGATTTCCCTTCTATTTTTAGCTTGCTATAGCCTAAATGACATGGGTCATTGCACATGGAAAGAGGTATTGTCTGTTAATAAATAACATTACAAGTCTCTCTTAGTACAATCGTCTAAGGATAATGAAGTGATTCATCCAATTCCTTTTTTCCCCCGCAAAGATATGTTCAAAAGCTAAATTAATTCACAAAAAGTGAAAGATGAGACACACCTGGTTGAAGATGTTGGGCCAAATGATATCCTTGCCAGAAATGGTGAGAAGATTGTCTGGGGGAGCTGTGGGGTCGATCTTTCCCACATGGACTCTCAGAAAGGACTTGTTTGGGAATGTGACCCAATTGAGAACATCAAATCCAGTTAGGAATTCCCCCTTTGGTCCAAAAGAGATCTGTTCCCCAGCACTGTTGTTAAAGGAGACCTGCTGCAAAAAATGGTGCAGCTGAATGAAGAAAAAGAAGAAGGAAGAGGTTACGTGAAAGTTGTTGATTTGTCCCTTTCTTATTCTTATTGATTGTATTTACTGAGGCATTTACATGGGTACCCAACTCAAACTATTTGACAACCTTTCAGGTTGGCCTATGCTCAATGAAAAACGATCTCTCAAAATTGTATCTACACTATTTCATATCGGAGAACAACTATCTCTATCACATCCATTTTGTATGCTATTACCTAATCAATGCATTTCAGCTTGCATGCTCTGAGATGACAGCTACATCAATAAATTTGGAAAGGGAGAAACTGAAGATATCTCTTTACTCTAATCAATAGAATATTCCAGGAAATGATTTTGCTGGTATAAAATGTGGACAAAATCAAAACTAAATCACTCAGAATCAAGGTGGCCATGAATAAGAATGCTGTTCATTGAAAAGATAAAGATTTTACATTGAAAATTGCAAAATGTTATGAACATATATATCAATTTGACTTCATAAATTTAAATACTTTCAAGTGTTCATCCATGATATATTTCTGACCTTCCATACATTTTACAAGACTTACTTCTCAAGTTCTGTTGATGACTGTGATGAACATTTGAAACAGCATCAGAAAAAGATAGTAGGGTTTTTTTCTCATTGTTGTTGTTATTATTATTATTATTATTATTATTATTATTATTATTATTTCATTTTATCCTGCCAAGTACTCCCTGATTACATTCAAAATTATATTGAAATAATATATGATCTCTGTGACATTTTAAGTTTAAGAATCCTTCAGCTATTTTAAGGAAGAAATCTCTCCCTGATATATACTCTGGTACTGAGCACATGTCATGATGACCTACCTGAATTCTGCATTAGCCAACATTACCTGCCATGGTGATTGAAGCAACAGCTTCCATCTTCTCCCATCAATTATTCGACCCTTTTTGAGTTTGGAGGAGCGCATGGCCCTCAGAGCATGTACCACAGCATAGACTGCATTGTAGATACTGTAGCTGTGGCCAGTCATGCTCATTTCAAAGACAGATTGAGAAAGAGTCTCCATCTTCTCTTCTGCAGTGCAGATCCTTTCAGCATTCCCATCCATCATCTCACTGGAGAATGAGCATTCAAATGCGTCTTTCCAGAAATCCCTAATAAAGCCATCTTCTTTTTCAAAGTTTGGGTTTCTCTTCCACATAAATTGTTGGAATCCTGTCACCTCCTTTGAGTGAATTGCAAAGGAAAGAGCACCATGGAGAAAATCAATGGGCAATTGTCTTTGCATAAGAATAGAGGTGAATTCCATCTGGGCTGTCATGATCCAAACTTTGGCTTTTCTCTCCTTTGGAATATCATCAGAATCTAAAAGATAGACCATTAATCTCAAAGTCAGTATGGTCCAAATTTCTCCATTCAAGATCACAGCACTGACAGTACTCTGCATGATGGCTTTGTACAATTTATCTGTCTCTTCAATCATTTCAGCAGCTTCATTTCCATACATCATTTTGGGGATACATTCTATAAAGTCAAAGCAGATCCCTCTCTCAGAAAACATAGAAAGCCTATTTCGAATGAATCTCTCTTTATCTTCCTCATCAAAGTAAACTAACCCAACCCAGGTCCATCCAAAATGCAACAGTAAGTGTAATATGCCATTAAATTGGTGGATCTCATCTGGAAACATCCATCTGAAGAAAACTGTTTCTGCTTCATTATTCATCAATGCAGCTGATCCATATGCTACCTAATTGTGTGTGTTGGGGGGAGAGACAAGAACATAAATAGCTTTTATCCCAAAAAGAGGAGGAAAAATGATTCCAATATGCATCTGTTGATTGTCACGTTTTGAATTTCTGAAAGCAATCCCCAAATCCTAGCATAAACCAATTTCTTGAATTCATTTCATAGATCAAAGTTGCTCATATTCTTGCCTCAAAATTTCATGCTTCTAGGAAATACCTGGGAAAATTTATTAGGAGGATCTCAACAATGTTGGAGACAGGAAAAAAAAAAGCAGAAAAAGGCCCAAGTACTGAAGATCCAGTGAAAAAAATAGGTGTACTATTCCTACCTGAGGTAAATAAAGAGCATTTCCTTTCTTGTATCAGGAGAACATTTCATGAACACAGAAGAAAATGAAACATCAAAAGATATTTTATCATTATTATCCTTGGTTCTGTCTGAAGCAACATCTGAATAAATAAGTACTTAATATCTGCTACCTTGAGCTACTTCTCGGTCTCACCTGTGGAAACTTGTAGTTGTACAGCATGGTTGCCATGTTGAGACAGGTCTTAGTACGGGGTCCTCCAATGAGTGCTACTGCATTGTTCTGGATATCACACCTGTAGTTAGGGACAAATCTGTCTTTTGTAGATAGAAATTCCATTGCTAAAAGGTAAGTTGACCTTTCCTCAAAATTATCACTAGCAACATGGAAGCCAAGGGTAACATTTTGCAAGAGCTGGGAATGTTCATTGATCTCCTTTACAGCAAATGCCAGAGCCAAAATGTGCTGGTAGTTATGAGTGAGGAACCTTCAGGAGGATTATAAACTAGGTCAATATATTTCTGCTATAAAATCCAGCAGGTACCACATTTTATTGTTACATATATTCATGCACAGAAAAAAGAAATGGTGCTAATCATTCCACTGGATACCTGGAATTTTGTCTTTATAAAACAATAGCCCAGCACTGTATGGGTGTGCAAACCCTGACCGAGAGGGGTTACCTCCGTTTGAGAGAAGAGAGCAGTTTTAGCCTGGTCTCTTCTCTCTTTAGGATTCCCATTCTGGGAAATTTCTAAATTGATTGAGATTGCTCTTTTGGGATTGCTTGGAGATGCAGTACTATTCCAACTGAGTGTGAATGGAAGGGGGAGAAGTTGCATGTGATTTCAATTTATGAGCAGAACATTGCATTTTGCCCAGTATTTTTGTATGGCTCCTAAGTCAAGTTAAATAACCCACCATAGACTTTTAAAAGTTTGAAATAATTTCTGAAGGGGACCTGAGGATTTCTTACTTCACCACCTGGGTGAGATGAAGAAGACGAAGCTTAAGATGAGTTAGAATACCCAGAGTCTCTTTTGAGGGTATCTGAATGTCCTAGACTGGTAATGCTATGGCCTCATGATTAATCATGGTGGTGATGGAAGGGAGAGGTCTTGAAATTTGCTGGGTGTGTGTGTTTGTGTATAGTACAATCCATAAAGTTTTGTGGATGTACATCAGAAATATTTGTCTCACTTTACATTCCAATGTTAGGAAAGGTTAAATGTGCGTAATCCTAAGAATTTAGAAATGGCTCACTAGGGAAAGTGCAACTCGTAATACATTTGAGCACAAAAAGTGAAAGAAACGAAACAACTTTAGAGAAAAGCAGCTGGGGCTGGGGCGGGGGCTGGTATTGTTGGTGATTAAACTATGGTACTTACAGGTACTGATCAAGCACTTCATGAGAAGGAAGACTTTGA